AGTTCTGTGACTGGGGTGCTGGGCTACTGCTGTCTTGTTTTTAAGTCAGTCGTGGTTGTTCTGTTTTTGTTTCAGCCCTACGTCCTGTTTTCTGGCTCCTGGTTCCTGTTCCTGGTATCCCTGTCCTCTGCACTGGAGTCTGCTCTCCTGTGCACCTCAGCCTGAAGCCCTCCATCCAGTCAGCAACCTCTTGGTTACCTGTTTCCTGCAGTGAGCTGTCTTAAGGTCTCAGTGTCCACACACACACACACACACACACACACACACACATATATATATATATATATATATATATATATATATTTACCATGTGAATTATCCAATCAAACGTGGGGAAATTATTTTTCAATTTTCTTGCTGCCATCTCCTGGCCGAATGTAAGTATTGCAATTACCAGAAAAGATCATTTTAATGTTATTAAATGGCAGTACTCAAATGCCGCCACTAGATGGAAGCATAAAAAGAGGAAAAACTCTTCTCACGGTCCAAGCATATAATTATTAAACAAAAACATTTTTTACGCCATACAAGCAGATTATAAAACAAATTTCTAAATATTATTTCACATGGCACAAGTTTTTTATTTTTAATTATTATTTATAATTAAATTTATGCTTTATTGTCATTCCAAACATGTTGCACATGATAGTAACAAAATGAGGTACTAAGGTCCAATATTGGGTGTGATGATAAAACAGAAATTAAATACAAAAAAAAAAGCATTGAATAAAATTAAGGTTAAAATAAATTAGTAACAATGTGATTAATAATAACATTAGGAGACTCTAACTGTGAATGGAGTGAGCAGTGTGGGTGTAGAAAAAAGCTGCAATGTGAGGGTGCAAAATTACAGTAATAACATGCAGCACTGAAGGTAACTATTGCAGCAATGTAACCTGACATGTAACACTGATTATTTACAGCATTGCTGTACCACGGAATCCACAGAAGTGCCAGAAGCCCTGACAGTAATATGAGACGCCCTGTTAATGATTGTTTTAATGAGCCGCAGAGTGTCTCAGTCTCACGGCCTCTGAGAAAAAGTTGTTTCTCAGTCTGCAGGTTCTGATCCTGATGCTGCGTAGCCTAACAAATATATTTTATTACCATAGAAACAGCAATAAAAGCATAAATGTGACCGTGGCAACACAATTTTTCAAATGTCCTCCTGCCATCTCGTGGCCCATAGTAAGCAGAGCAATTACGGGGAAATGTGAATGTTTTTAAATGGCACTACTCAATTTTGGCCACCAGATGGCAGCAGTAAAGTAGAAAAAACTATTTCCCCATGGTCAAATTATATAATTTTTAAACAATGACTTATTTTCACGCTGTACAATGAACTGATAAAATATACATTTTCTTATTGTAATTATTATTATTATTATTATTATTATTGTAATATATTTGTTGTACATGGTAGAAGTTTTTAAAGAATATGACCATGTAAAACAGCCAATAGACTGTGGGAATTTTTTTTTCTAGTTTCTTGCTGTCATCTCGTGGTGAAGCTGAAGTATTGCAATGAGGAAAAAAATAATTAAAATGTTTTCAAATGACAAAATCATACAAATTCATGAGATGACAGGCAGACTACAGTCACTCAGTGTATCCACCCTCCATTACTGCTTTTCCGCTACAGGGACTCGGGGAGCCTGCAGTCTGTCCCAGGCAGCACACGGCAGAAGGCAGGGCTCACCCTGGATGGGATACTAGTCCATCAAAGGTCGTTCGGAACTTGAAATGTTCGTAAGTCGTTATTCAGCATCATTTTAAGGGTATACGCAAGTACTAAGTACTAGGATGCTGAGAGTACGCAAACTACGCTGCTGTGCAGCGGGAGTAGTGGCCAGAAGTCATACTAGGTGGAATTGGCGCACAGAAAAAAAATTGATGTTGCACAGCAAACGTGCCAGTGTTAAATTAACACTGCATGGTGTCTATATGTGACCACACCATTCAGCTTGAGTAAGATATGTTTCTTTAGTCATCCTTAGAAAGAACAGATCCAGCTCAGCTGAGAACTGCCCATGGTTCAAAAGTGTGTGAAATGTATGGCACCAATCACCAAACACAGATTGCAAAGTCGGTTTGCATCACATAATTATTTAGCAGGGCTGAAAAAGGGTGAGAGCTATCTTAATGACTGAAGGACTGTATTTCCGCTAAAGCAGATATAATGGGAGAATGAAAAGGTCCCCCAGAGTGGGACACTTGACTCGAATCCTGTCAGCTGAGTGGGACAACTTGCGATAGAACAAATCAAATCACTTTGCTCATTTAATATTAAGATTTTCATTAAGCTTAATTTTTAGATACCCACCACGATCGAGGCTGGTATGGCACTGATATTAGTCTTTACCACATTTCATTACTTATTTTTGAGTTGCCTGTGTTGGTGTATGTTAATTGATGTGGGCAGTGTAGTTCTTACATATGATGTAATCTCCATACAAAAGATCCAAACAATCTTCCTGGAAAAACCAGACTTAGAAAAGAAACTAAATGATTGTTTTTCTATAGCATTTTCCTCCCAGCCAATGCCTTATCTAGTTAAGCCATAGAGGCTAAACCACCCCACCTGGTCCTTGGCTGGAACACAAGAGCTATTTCGGTGGTTTTTGTTCTTTTACCTTATTCATCACAATCACGGTGGATTAAAAAAAAAATCTATTAAGTCAAAAACAGTACTGTGTCATGCTATGCCAATATACGTCCAGCACCATTGGTCTACAGGGGAGTGGGTGGTACCAGGAGCTGCACAGAAAAGGGTATCACAATTGTCCTAACACCTTTCCACATACTGTATGTTAATCATCCTGGCAGGACTGACAATCAAACATACTACCACACTATTAATATATATACCAATCTGGAGACACATCCTGTATATCTCCAAGAGTTTTTTTCTCTGACGCAACTACAACATGCTATGAGACCACAGCTCTTTAATCTTCAAAATTCATCAGAACCAAGCCAGCAAAACTTTATCACAAAACAAGAAAAAGCTGTAAGGTCCTGTTTGGTCAGAGTCTTTCTTATGATGGTGGGTAAATCTGGGACGGCTCTTCTGATCCTCATGACGTCTTGTTCGCATATTAAAATGGGGCAGATATGTGGAGGTATAGACTCTTTGACAACACTCTAGGTTGTAAATTGAACACTATAAGAGTTAATAAATATTAACACTGTAAAACAACACTCGCTGCACACTGAAAAGTGTTAAAGGTAACACTGAATGGTGTGGTCACATATAGACACCATGCAGTGTTAATTTAACACTGGCACATTTGCTGTGTGCGGACAGGAAATGGGAGCCCAATGAACATAATTTGGACTTACGGTCCTCTTCGTTCGTATGTCTGAAAGTTCGTAAGTTGAAAGTTCGTAACTAGAGGAACGTCTGTAATCCCATTTTAAAACTGCTTGAGCAGTAATTAAGTGCATTGGATGTTTAATTAAGTTTTGTTAATGAATCTTAGCATCAAAAATTTCATATCAGTACAGTCATGGGCTGCTGATTTAGGGGTCTGTTTACATATTAATTATATTAATTCAGCAGAGTGGACTCTGTCTATCCCCCCCATGGCTATTTCCGGCTGCTGTAGTGGTGTGGGGGACACACTGGCTTCTGATTGGTCCTCATTAGTGGGGCAACATAATGTACACAGCTTCCAGTTACTGTCAAGAATAGAGTGATTGATGTCTGGGGTGTGGGGGAGGGGGGGTCCTTGGGATTAAAGATGCATTAATGGAAAATGCACTAGTCAATTATTCACCCCCCCATATAATCATCCACATCAGCCTGAAATAACCCTGATGCTGGTTTAATAGAAACCAAGTAGGAAAACTATCACTCTAAAGAACTGCTGTGGTGTGTAGTGATGCCAAGTGACAGGGGGAAGGCGGGGCATCCTTTACACTCCCGATCTCTAAACTCAGAGACACCTTCGGATAGGTAGGAGGTAGGTAACACCCCCCATGTGTGTGTGTGAGCTTTAACCGGGGGCTCTGTGTGTGTGTGTGTGTGCTCTAAGTGGGCGCTGTGTTTCTGCATGTGTCTGTGAAGGAACAGAAATGTGTGTTTATGTTCCTCACTGAACAGAAATCTTTGTCGCAGTAACAGGACAGAACTGAGGTCATTGGTGTGCTTTTGAAGACAGTAAATGTCTGTGTTTGTGCTTCCAGAAGGATTAATATTCCTGTTTGCATGTATGTGACTGTTTATAAGTGTGTCACAGAACTGTTTGTGCATAAAGCAGAGGTGGGGGGCCTGATCCATGGAGGGCTGCTGTGGGTGTATTGTGGGACACATTATATTTGGTTATCGAATTCTTAAATTGTATGGAATACAATACATCTGGAAAACAAGAACTGTTATGCCAGGCTGCTGTTTGTGGACTACAGCTCTGTATTTAACACCGTCATTCCATCCCAGCTCATCACTAAACTCCTGGATCTGGGGCTTAGCTCTTCACTGTGTAACTGGATACTGGATTTCCTCACTGGCAGACCTCAGCAAGTGCGTATTGGTGGAAAAACCTCCTCCATCATCACCATCAGCACTGGCACCCTGCAGGGCAGTGTGCTGAGCCCCCTGCTTTACTCTCTCTACACTCATGACTCCAACATCATCCTTAAGTTTGCTGATGATACCACCGTAAACCCAAAAAAGAATATATGCATTTTTTTCACATGCAGTGCATCACAGATAATAAAACATGTTATGAAAACTATTCACTTTAGTCTTTTCAGCCAGACATAATAAAATATAAAAAGACAGGCTGCAGTAAATTTCAGTTGCAGTTCTTTTATTTTAGAGTAATATTTTATTGTACATTAAATAATGACTGTACATGTGGGGACGTTAATTGAGGGAACGCAGCGTCTCACATCCTGCGACCGACGGGAAACCCGCAGTTACCACAGGACGGCAGTAGGGGGCGGAAGCGAGATGCTGCTCTGTCAAGTTACACCAGATTGTTTAAGTAAGAATGTTACGTTTTGATTTTTTAAAAAAAGAATTAGATGTTTCCCCATTAATGTACGCAGTAATTAGTTTTATTTTAAAAAATATCCTTTTCTCGTGTTTTAATACGGGTGAGAAACTCGGTGGCCCTATGCTAGTAAACTTGTCGATTTTCAGGTAAGGCAGTTCACGGTTAGGAAACCTGCTTGTTGTATTTTGGTCATTCAGTGTAATTTGTGTTACTAATGTTTTTTCCTTTGCTTTTGCAGTTCCGTCTCCTGTTAAGCGGTTATTATATACGACAATGTCCGTGTCTTACGTGAACCCTGTGCGATCCCGGCGTGTCCCTAGTTATTGTGTAAATGACCCGCCGGTTGCGCCTCACCGTCCGGCGTCTGTTTCCCCGTTGTACAGTTTGTTCGCTGCTCCTGTTAGTGATTTTAAGGAGCTGTAATAAAAGGGCGTCTTCGCTCTTTA